AGAATGCAACATCGGTTTTGAATTCGTTCCCCGATAAAATTGAAGCATATAAGCGTTTATTAACGTTCCCAATGTTGTGAGGTAGAACACTACGAAGTCGATATACGATATATATAATACATATTCGACGATCATTTTCGAATCGATATAGAATCGAAAATTAATTATGGAATCGATGTAGTACCTAAAACAAAATAACAATTATAAAATCAAAAAAAAAAAAAAAAAAAACGAAGAAGAGTCAAAAGTAAAAAAAAATAAAAAAAAAAGAAGCAAAGGAAACGTAGAACAGAAATATGCAATATGTGTTACGAAATTGGAATTGGAGTATCGAAAAATAACCTCGATTCGAATGAACCGAAACCGTGTTATATCCACAATAAATTACGCAGCTGTTTCAAATCGATAAACACCGCGGTTTAAAAAAAAGGACACAGTCATTTTAATTTCGACACCGTCCCTCTTAATATTATTTCTCATACACGTTACAACGAAAATTCTTAATCGTAAATGATAATCTTAATCTTTGATATCCGAACGCGAACATTGCTTCGTAATATTTCGTCGAATATTTCATCCATATCGTAATCTCGACAGGTTTGTTGAAAGGGTCTGTCACGGCTGAGCGACCGCGCACCCTGCGTCGGCTGCGTAACGTTTACGGGCCATCCGCATGCGGAATGGGAACCGGAGGTGATGGGGGCGGAGGCGGAGAACGTCTCGAGGACGGAGAGGTGTCGTTCAGATTGTCGGATCGGGATCGCGAGAGGGACGAGAAGTCCCTTAGCATAATGAGCCCTTTCGACGAGCAGGAGGAATGGGCCAAGATTTCAGAGATCATGGCGTCGATCGGCACGGGCCTCGTCAGGGAGTCGGTCTTCGTCACAGAGTTGGAGAAGGAGTTCCAGACGAGACTAGGTACGTATACCAGATATAGATCTCTGAACGAAGTAGAAGTATTTTGCTAGAGTTTTTTTTATTTTTTCCTTCACAAACAATTAGTTTCTTTTTTTTTGATATTAAAATATAGAGATTATAAGAAGTCTTATTAGAAGTATTAAAATATAGAATAATTATAAGAAGTTCTATAAAAAATAATTTTATTCGAATGCACAGGCTTGAGCTCGGACACTAGCAGCAGCCCTATTGTCTCCACTTCCGTTGGCCAATGGCTGTCGACGCTGGGCCTGGCCGATTACGAGACCCTCTTCATTAACTACGGATTCGACGACCTGGATTTCATAGTGAGCATCGAATCTTTATTATCTTTATTGAAAGTTAAGAAACGTTAAGAGAAACGATATTATAATGTAGGGAGATGAAATTGGGAAAAATATGTAGATACGCAGAGATGGAAGTGTTTGAAAAGTGTGTGGAACACTCTTTCTTATTTCCAGAACGGGGTTTTGGACGAGACCGATCTGAAGGATATGGAGATCAGCAGCGATCAAGAGCGGGCTGTAATAATGGACGCGGTCGGTTTATTGAACAAACGGTTGGACAAACGATCCAACGTTCAATCGGTGGACGAGTGGTTGAAAAGCATTCATTTGGAAAATTACGCGGAAACCTTTAAAAAACACTTGTACACGGATATGGAGCGCGTGAGATGCGTGTGGGAGGTCGAATTGGCGACCGTACTCGAGATCCAGAAGCCAGCGCACCGTAAGAGGATCCTCGCGTCTGTCAGTGGATCGAGCGCGCGTGCGCAGAATCGTAACTGCGCCGGGCCCAACTTGGAGGATCTCAATAAGGATTTGAACACCTTGGTGAGTGAAATCGCTTAGTAGTTTAACTGAGTACGAATCGATCGACGCGTGTTACCTTCTGAAAAAACATTCGTCTGGAATCGATAATGGACGAGGAAGGTGTAAAAAGTCGCGAAAATATTTTAAGATTTTATTTGTAGAGTTAAATTTAGAATCTTTGGTATTTTTGGTTTCGTATGCAGAAGTTGCTTCGAAGATGTCTCTGTGGAATTTTTTTTTTTTTTTGAGCGTGTAACGAATCGAGGAATTTTTGTGTTTAAATTAATCGAAATTCGTTTTATTTTATTTGAAAATAATAATGAAACGTAGATGATGAAAAGAATTAGAATATTTGATCAAATAATACATATTAAATAAATATATTTAATATTACGATTATCACCCGATATTCGAAATTTTCACATCTCTCGAAAAAGAAATTCCATCATTCGAACTTTTTCGATCATAAACCATCCAAGGACAAAATTTTTCGATAATAAACGCGGGGATCGAGCAACGAAACGAGTAAAACGACCGAAAGACGAAGAGTCTGGAAAGGGTTAACGAGGTTCATTCCGCCGAACGGATCACGTGACGCTCTTCTTCCGCCGATTCTCTCACCTGGCCCGGATAGGGGGCGCGTCACATCGCGCGTTTTAAAAGTGCAATCGAAATCAGACAGAGCGAAAGAGGGAAACGGCGGAAAAAAGGGGAAAAAAGAAAAAGAAAAACGGAAACAACGAGAATGGATCGTGATGAGTGTCGCGGATGAAGGGATCCTGTTAAGAATTCCGTTGAACGGGGTGTCTGACAAGGGCCGCGAAGCACTTGGGCGAAAAGAGGACGGTGGTGATTCGAGGGTGGCTGCGACACGCCAGGGCCAAGCTCGATCGCTTCCTACCGAGCTTTCAACCGATCGCGTCATAATGTAAATATCGTGGCTAATTGGAGAGGTGTTATTGTAACCGAGGAGGGGGCGCATCAAGCTTCCGCTACCTGTTCCCCCCCCCGCGTATATACACTTGCCTCACGAGGCGACACTCGAGCCAACCTTTCAGGCTGATCGCTCGAGCGGACGCTAATAGTTTTTGTTCGGGCGCCTCGAGCGCGATACGTGCATCCGTTAACGAGCTACTCTCTCTCCCCTCCCTCTCCTCTCTCCCCCCTCCCTTCCCCCGCCTTCTCGCGCGGAGCGTCTCGCCGCTCGGCCTTTTCGACGGTGCTCCCCTTAATTAGCTAATTAAATTCGATTAATGGCCGTCGGTCGACGCGCACACGTCCAAATTGCTCCCTTTGTTCCCCCGTTTCTCTGCTCCTTACGTCCATTCTTTCCTCGTAATCGAATTTCACGATTACCGGCCTCGTGGTGCGCGCGGAGTTCTCGTCGCGCTTCCAGGGAGAGGGGAGGGGCATCCGTCTGTGGAATAATCTTCGAATCTCGATTAATCCTCGATATGGGTATATTTTACGGTATATGGGTGTATAAATTTGAAGTTGATTTTTTTTTTCCTCTTTCGTTGAATTGTCTCGTTCTTAGATCGATATATTAATATTTTCAATTTCTTGGATCAATCAATTCGTGGGAAATCGAGGTCCAAGATATTTTTTAAATATTGGTATATTTCTTCGAAAATTCTAAGGTTTTGTTGCCTCTTCTGTAATGTAATAATCGTTTGTAGCAAATTAGAGTGATTATCAGAGATTAAAAGCATTCAAATTATCGCCCTTTATGCTTGTAAGGAAAACATTGTATCATACTTTTTTCTTTGACATCGTGTTTTTTTATTCTTTCTCGATATTTTTGATTGTTGTACAGCGTATCATTTCTTATTTTCAATCATTTTATTTTATTTTTTTCAATTTTTTCTTTCTCTTTCTCTCTCTCTCTCGACACGATACTGAAGAGAAATTATATAGGAGAGGCAGATGTAACAAACGATTCGCGGGATGTAATCCGTACGGAGAACGATACGCTCGTGTGGTTTGAATCTGGTTTGATCGTAATTCCCGGAACGGCGTGAAACGATTCATTCCCGGAGATTGCAAAAAGTTTTCTTTTTTTTTTTTTTTTTTTTTTTTTTCTTTTTTTTTTTCATCAGGACTGGTACGGATGCCGATTCGAAACGCGCGACGCTTTCACGAGTGTAATTGCACGTTCTGTAACACGAGCACCCCCGGTTTTCGTGCGCGGCTTTGTAACGCTGCGCGAAAATTTTTCGCGCCGACATGTGTCCATTTTTATTTTTGGCTCCGCTGACGTATCGGAAATTTGCTTGTAACGCGGCCGAAACGCGACGTTGGAATGTAAAAAGGTATTTGCTCCGGTCGTTCGTTCGTTCAAATAAATCTATTGGAAGGTTTTACGTTCCACGGTCGAAATTAATGGAATGTATTCGTGTTCTATGGTGTTAATATTGACGTATTCGGAGTTTACATTGTTGACGAAAGGCAAAGTTTCTTCAGCGGTTCAAAATCCCCCTTCCCCTTTTTTTGAATTCGAGAGAAACAGAATACAGAAATACATACAACTTTATAATTAATTTTATAATTTTAATAGACAATCTAATATAAATATTCTGTTTTATATACAATATATTGTTTTGATAAATACTTATCTAATATACTTATATTTTTAAAGAACGTGAACTCATCTTTTTAAATATAATTTTAAAAAGGACAATTTGTTTTATATTTTAAATTTTTCAAATTTCCTTAATAATTGAAAATTAGAAATATTTTCATATCTAGATGAAAATATCTCTTTACAATGAGAATATGTACATACATTTTATTATTACAAAACATTTAATACAAAGAAAAAAATTAGAAAGAGCTACGTGTATTTCTTTTGTTTTTTTTTTTTTTTTTGTAAAATCTCTACGACAAGGCTCTCTCAAATTATTTAAAAATTCGGCGGTATCTCGTTTCCGCAGAAGTCGAACATACAGCAGCTGAAGGAGGAGATACGGGAGAAGCTGCCGGAAACAACGACGGAGGGTAATGGCGGTACGTCGATAACCGGAACGAATTCGACCGGCACGAGCACATTAAGGCATCGCAAAAACAGGCCGGCTCCGCAGCCACCCCAACGACCCAGTTCGCATAATGGGGCGATCTCGGCACCGGAACAACTCGAGATCAGGGCACCATCAGAGTTGCTCCTCGGTGTCCCGTCCACCCTCAAGACGCAATGGAGGCACCAGCCAAAAGCTCTAGTCACCGGCTGCGTCACGTACGTCGCCAACGTAAGTCTAATTGCTTCCGTTCTTCCATCCCTTCTATCTCTTTTCTTGCTTCTTACTATTTTACATGTCTTTTGCCGTGTCTTCCTTCGACGGAACTATTCCTTCCAGACAGCCAAATCTTTTTAGTGCTTTTACGCGGTGGATGGATTCTATTATTGGTTATTAAGGATAATTTACATAGGTCGTTGTAGATGAAATGGCCGAATTCTTGATAGTTTTTATATTGCTAACTTCTTATATTTTCAGCGAAAGAGAATGTAATCGAAGAAATCGAAGTTTTACTCCATGTTTTATAGATTTTTATACTTCTTTTTATGCTTCTTTTAATAAAATTCTGAAAAATAATATAATAAAATTATTTTTAATTTAACTTTGTTCAAGAAATATATCTTTTATTTTATGTTTTTTTACTATAATGATGATGAAATAACGAATGTTACCATTTTCATACATAGTGATATATGTAGCAAAACTATTAATATAAGATTAATTAATATAATTGATATTTTATGTTAATATAAAATTCCTTATTTATTGAGTTACTGTTTTGTCCATAAGGAATATTTTGAACGACTTTATACACATATGAAATTTGCCATTTCATATGCAATTCTAATATCGTATAATGAGTATACTTTGGAATTTATGTTACTGCGTTGAGAGATGGTTACATCAAAAAAAATTAGCGGTAATCGAGCTTCTTATAACATTGTATAAAAAGGAAATTATAGTTGCTATAAAAACCAGAACATTTCATTGTAGAAATTGTATTCCGTAATTCTGTTCTGTAGTTCTAACATATTGTATGGTTCTTGAATAACGAGTGCGGTGTGTGATGTCAGCCAGATAATCATGACAACGCTTCAAGGTGAAGGTTATTACCATAATTATAGCGTGGGTGTAGCTAATAACACATTTCATTCAGAATATTATCTTCTTTGGTGTAACCTCTAGCGCAATAAACGAGCATTTAACGCTTTCTTCATTTGGAAGATCATATTGTTCAACTTGATGATCGCTTGTTTTCTTTGATACATAATTCTGCAAATATTACATAACAATTTAATAATGCTTAAGATAATTCTTATTATAGTTACTAACTTGCTAATATACATATTTTATAAATAATTTATATGCGATTCATTATTAATATTGGTAGATTTATGATAGAAATGTATTTTTAAAAAAGCTTAGCATTTAAATACCTTGTAGATTCTAGAGGTACGGTTTTTTTTCTGTTCAAAAATCGCGTAGTATCTAGGTTCCACTGTGGTGAAGGAGTTACGCGGTACTGAGTCGACAAAGAAATCGATACAAAAGCTGAAGAAAACTTGCCGCGAACCTAGAGTCATCCCTGACATCACTTTGGCGATTTCTTATCGTGGCGTTCGATTCCTCAACACTGTGACTAATGTAAGATAATTTTTACAAGATATATTTAAAAATATCGTAGGAAGAATACGTGGAAGAAAATTCTAAATAACGTTAATCCTTTGTAATTGTGATTAATTTAAACATAATATCTTTATAAATAGTTTTAGACATATAAAAATATAGTTTTTTTTGAACTTATTTTTATATAAGTATTATTTTATATTTGTTCGAAATCTTATATATGATTTGAAAATTTTTGTGATAAAATTAATTGGAATTTATCAAAATTATTTCGAATCAATAATATAATGATATATATAAGGAGAACAATGTCCTGCATTTATGGAATTTGTATCACGTTCGAAAGGATTAACGTTGAACCATAATACGATTACTGTGCCTATATACATTTGTATTTGGAATGATGGGAATCGATATAGGAGCCGATTTGCGAGCACGAAATTCGCAACATTCACTGCGCCTGTCAGGATGCTGACGATCTCACGCATTTCGCATATATTACTAAGGACCACGCCAGCCGTACGCATTTCTGCCATGTATTTTGCGTACCAACAATGGTAAGTCCATTTTCATTCTTTTATTTTCAATATCACAATGTTGAAATCTATTTATATGAAATTTTTTTGAAACAGAATTTAGAATTATTATTATTTAATTGATCTGAGAATAAGCAATTCAAATAGAATACTTACATGCATATACGTAACATACAGCAGTTTATTAATTTTCTTTACAGCCCATGATTTCCCATTCAGATAAATATGTTTAATCAATGAGAAACTATTTAATCTGATATTAACTGAAATTTTGTTCCAGTAAATAGAGTTTTATCGTATTACATATTTCTTGACGTTTCAATTTTATCAACACAATTAGAAATAGCTTCATAATAATTTCATAATAATGAATACGTTAAATCCATTAATATTATTAGTAATTCAACTATTTACACTTCTTCTTTATTAATAACCAAAATATATCATTGTCAATTTCATCTAAATTTTAATTATTTTCACAATAAATCTACGAAGTGAGACATATTTGTTTCAGGACCAAGCAACGGAGGTGATCCTAACCTTAGGCCAGGCGTTTGAAGTAGCTTATCAGATGGCGCTGCGGGACAAACTTGGCAGCCATACAGTGCGATCGCAATCGGCTAATCAACTCGCAACTTTTTCAAAATCAGTTGTATCCACTAAGATACCAATTTCGCCAGATTCTGCGCTCGATACTGCTCGTGAAACACTTGATCAATCTGCAACCCCTATTCCTATCGTGAACTCGATGAATCCAAAGCCGAAACCTCGTTCCAAATCGTCCATTCCTAATCCTGTAATGCAATCCACAGCGACCAATCAAACGCAAGATGCAAATTCTAACTCGAGTTCCCTCTCAAGCGGTACTGTGAACTGTAGTTCGAGTTCGAACTCCGCGACTAGTCCTAGTACGAATTCTGTGAGCAGCTCAAATTCGAATACAAGCACTAATCAGACAGCGAAACCGCTTATTACGCATGGTAGGTCCCATTCCGTGAATGATATTAAAGTGAACGGCAACCAATTGAAGTTGGCTCCAGCACCAGTTGATGATATCGGAATCGGTGTGAAGGATATGAAACCCGGCTCTAGAGCACCCATCGCTCTGTCTGAAGAATTGTAGAAAATCTGTGATCCATTGTTTTTTGGATCTTCATTATCGTTTGTTTGAGAAGTTAGGTTTCGAAAACGCTTGACGATCTTTGCTTTGATCGTTGACAAACTTGCGCGAATAGGCAAGACTCTCGCTTTTCCTTTGTGAACTTTTAGAGGTTATGATATTGATATGAATATTTGAAGGAAATCTGACAAGTGCTTGTTTGACAAGTGTACTGTTTGAAATATTGGTGTAATGTTGAAAATATTGTGAAACAATTGTTCTTCGGGGAAAAGTTTGGAAATTCGTAATTGTGAGGTTAAAAGAAGTATATATCAAATCGTGCAAATTGATCCTTGATACCAGAACATCAGTCGAATTTTTTATAAAATAATATAAAATCTAGTTGAGACTTTAATGTTTGGATGAGAAGTTGAATTGAATGATACACGCGAAATAGGGGATCGTGCAAACATTTGTGGTTTTTATCTCTTGAAATTTTGTAGTATTATTCTAAACAGACATAGTTGTGACAGTTTGACTGGTTATTTCATTTCGAAATGAATGGTACGAGATTTGATAACGACTCAGGTAAGTGAAAGACAAATCCAATCTTTTTGCCAAATTCTTGATTAACTATGAAACGGTGACACTGTGATTTTCTACATCGAGGGCATTAATAAATCGACAAAACTCATTTAAAAGACAATTATGTGCTCATTCTTTACATATTATATTCATGTTTGTGCAACGAGAAAATGAAAAAGAAAAGATATTAACAATAATAAAATAGAAAAACAACGAAGTTTGAAAATTCCCGTTTCACTATATCTCGTTGGGCGAACCGTGATTATTGTGAACAGTATTATTATTTGATGAAAATGACTCTTTATGAAATTACATTCGATGTTTTGTCAAATTTTGTAAGAAAAAGTGAGATCAAAAGTAATATCACATCGACGTCTTGTCTAAAATAATTTTAAAATAATTTAAAAAAGACAAAAAAAAATTAACGATTTTTTTCGAAAGATTCAAGTTTCCCATTGCATATACATTTATAATTTAATATTGCATTTAAAATGGCACATATATACATACGAACATTCCCATAAAAGAACATACAGGTGAGTTGATAAATTTGCGAATGCTCAATTTTGATCGCGTGCAATCAATTAAAAAAAAAAATGAATTGACTGATGAGATTTAGAGGCTGAATCATTTTTTTCTTTGAACCGTGGATGGCTTAATACCACGATCGATTTGTTTTTCCATATCATCATCCTTCGTTCGATTCGTTACTGTTTTTTCGATATCTTTATCTCCCAAGACTGATGGTCCTTATTTCGTTTTATATTTTTCACATGTTCGGCATTTATATATATTATGTGTACATAGACATATATGTATGCATGTACACAAAAATTGCACGTATTGATTATTATTTTTATTGAAAATAAAAAAAAATGAAAAAAGAAAGAAAGGATCAGACAGAAAAATTTTGAATTAATGTGTATTTATCATATGCTAATTTGACGAACCTCGCGATTAGAAAACGAATATTATACTATAAAACAGTACCAAATATTTATCTATTGTATATTTAAGTATTCGATGAGAATCTTAGAGAAAGATTTTGTCTTTAATATAAGTTGATTTCTAACGTGACGATATTAAAGAACGAATTAAAATAATTCTATAGTGTAGCTGATCGGTTCGGGGCTTAAATATTAGAATTTATTCTGAATTGACAAAATATGTTAGAATATTATTACTAATTAAACATATAGTTTTTTTTTTTTTTTTTTTTTTGGTAACTCTGTTATGAAGCAGGCCTAAAAGACCTTGTATGTAGTCGAATCTAGTTGTCGAATCATAAAAATAAATGAGAGCATGTGTTCGCCAATCACGAACCGGAGTTTCGAAAAATGGGAAAATAACGTGCGCGAGCTCAAGAACTCGTCAAGATGTCAGTTGAATAATGGCGTCCTGGACAGTGTACACAACGCGTAGATTTCGTAGTGAAACCAAAGATTGCATTGTATATAAAGAAGGCGATATTAATCTCGATATTAATCTCGATATTAACGTGGAAAGCAGGGGGAAGATGGAATGAAGAATCCATTTCGAAAGTGATATAGGAGTGAGAGATAGGAGTGGAACATGAGAAACTGCCAAATAACACACCATCATTACCAAGTACATATACGCACACTTTGTATTTATCACATTTAAAATTATAGATAGCGTTATTCATACGTATATATAAAATTAAGTGTTAAAATATTGCGGCAAAGACGAAATCCGTGAACGACATGATACAGTCATTTTGAAATATGGTTCGTCGTATATAATCCATACTTCGTGAGTTCGTATTTGCGAATTATAGTGCAGCTATGTAGGTTTGTAGAAATTCAAAGTAGAGCATGCTTCCTCGATGTGTGTCGATAAATTCGAGAGAATGGTGGAAAGAATCGAGAAGTGTTGTCGGATCGATATAGAATCGATTAAAGGGGTTATTCGTGTTGGCTTTGATGTTTCGTAATGGCATTGGGTTTTCGAAAAGTGTGTTGGACTAAAATGAAAAGTGAGTTCGATAGAAGATTGATCTATTTGGTTATGTGTTTGGGAAAAAGTATACATATAATATATCGGAAAAGAGAAAAAGATATTAAAAGATTCGATATTGATTGATAACGAGGATTATCGATAGTGTATTGTGTAATGTCAAATAAATTACGATAAATTACTAGCTTACGAAAACGTAGTATTACGTTAGAATATAGTTGTGACAAAATTTTGATGCTGCGTAGTTTGTAGTCGATCAATAGTGTATCTTTTTTCGACCAAGTTTCGACGTTTATAATTATGAAACGTACTACTACGTATTTCGAACATTTTGAGAAAGATATATATTTGAAGAAAAGCGTATCAAAATGTCCTTTCGTAGATTTATACTTTCGTAAGATTTTTTCTTGCTTTTTATTTTATACAAATTGCGTAGAGTGGTTCGTGTAAAGTAATATAGAGAATTATTTTTTAAGATATTTTACATGGAATTTTTTCTTTTTAATCTATATAAAGAAACTAAAGTGGCTTTTGTAAAATTTTGCATACACAAGTAGTTATAATTCACTATGCATGCTCAAACGTTCGATATCGTATTTGCCAATGACAAGTGCTCTAAAAAATTTTATTATATACATTTACATAACATAACAGATAATTAATATATTAACCAA